AAGAATATAATTAGCTTACAATATGAGAGATGATGATTCTCATATAGTTTATTAAGTTGATTATAGATGATAACTTTTTTATTTTTTGCTGTACACTACTTAGTAATATAATTTTGAAAGAAATATATGTTGTAAACTTTTGTATTAACTTATTTCTAGTAGAGCTACAAGTTATATAATTAAAATTTTTTAGTTATAATAGAGACCAAGTTAGTTTTGAACTCAAAGTTGAGGATGATAACTCTTTAACAGTTATATTTTATAGGAGATTAGAAAATAAAATAGGTCTTTATATTAATTTTTTGCAGGATATCTTCTAACTTAAAGATTATAATATCATAAGACAAATTGATGAGTTTGACTGAATATATATCTTGTTATTGAATAATTTTATATTGATTTAGAAGAAATAGTAACTGTACCCTATTTATTCTCAAAAGAACTGATCACTCTTCTATTGCATATTTTGCTTGTTCTACAGTTATAAACTGAATTGTTATATATGTCCATTTGCTAATAATTTTTTGCTTGATATTTAGAATTTCTTTAAATTAAAACATAATAGTATAAATTTATTTGATTGAGATATCAAGAAGTATATCTCTAATTATAACTATGATATTGATATTAACATTAGTGAAAGGGAATGAATGTGTAGTTGATAGAAATAAGTTATTAAGAGAAATATGTGTGATCTTATTTAAGAATTTTACTGATAAGAATTCTACACAAATATATTTTTCTTTATTACTGATTATTAATTTTATTTTAAGAAATTTGTAAAGTTTATAGAATAAATTATTAATAAAGTTAATATTTTCTTTGGTTAATTGATTGGACAGATTTATTTCAGTGATCTAGTCACAAAATCTTTTTATACTGGAGATGATCTCCTATTGGTTGTTCTGTGAATCAGTAGTTAAAGATGTGTTTTCATTATTTCTATAATTATTATATAATAATATATCTTTATCTTTAGTATATTCTTGATTAGATGATTCAATTTTAATGTAAGATTGGTTATTATTCTTATCTAAATTAATGTATAGTAATATTTATTTTTCTATTAAGTGAGAGAGATTTATTTCATTAGTTGTAGTAAATAAAAATCTTTCCTGTTTAACTTACTTGATATGTGAGTTATATGCAGAAGGTGATTAATCATATAGATTTTTGCAGGAGTTGATAATTATTTTTTTGGAAATTATATCCAAAAGTTTATTAGTTATTAGAATAGAAAGAATAGATGCTGACTTATTCACTAATAGAAAAGATTGTAAGTCTAAAGTATTTTTAATGTAATCTAAAAAGGAGATGAGAATAGAAGATGTCTTGAAAGGATTATTTATGATTATTTTTATATTATTAAACATAATATAAATATAAATAAGAAATATATATAGTAAAAAGAAATTGAAAAGAAAAAAGAGAAGAAAATTTTTTATGTATTTTAAGGATTTTTTATTTTTATTTTTCAAAAGTTTTGTAATTTTTTAAGCAAGAATATTATGAAAATTTAAGAAAAAATAAAGTAAAAAGTTAAAAATCTATAAATTTTTTGAGAGCTAGTTGTTTTATAATAAATAATTATAGAAATTTATAATTATTAATAAAGAAATATATAAAAATTTTTATCTTAGACAACTTGAATTTCATCTGATTGAGAGATTAATAGAAAAGAGATATGATATTCTTTTTATTTATTATTATTATTATTATTATTATTATTTAAATTATTACAGTGTAATCTTATCTCTTATTTATATTAATTCTATATTAAATATATATTAATAGATGATAGATTAGAGATTATCTATATTATATTTAAAATATAAGATATGATTAGTTATTTAGAACTTATTTAAGACTAAACTAATTCTATTGATAAAATAATTTTACTTGATTTAACACATAAGATACTTATATCTTATATTAATTAATATATTTTTTTTATAATTGCTTGTAAAGAATATTGTTCATTTTAATAGATATTTTTTTGATAATCATATATACAAAGAAATAGATCTGTTCAGATTCTAGTAATAGTTTGATATAGAGTTATAGTTAATAATCCTATTGAATGATCTTTATTATCTGGTATATGTTATATTTTCTTTTTCCATGTGATTTCTAATATTTTTTCTTTGTGATTAATAGTTTTGCATTTGGATAATCAAGTATTAATATAAAAGTTATTAGAAATCTATTTTATGAATTTTGTTGATATTATTCTGGCTAAAGAAATTAGAATTTATTAATTATAAAGAAATTGAATTAGTTTTTTAAATATGAGCTTATATAGTAATGTTTGATTAAGTATATTATAATTATTAATATTGAAGAGCTCTTTAAATATCATTAATTTTTAAAGATAAAGTTTGATTATATATTATAAGATTCTATTATTAGTATCTTTTAGTGATAATATAACTAGTTTTTCAAGAATTATTAATAATTATTATTTAATATTATCTTTAGTATACTTATTTAATAAATAGAATTAAAGGTATCTTTGATCTTTCTGTATATTATTGCAAATTAGATATTAGTTATCTTTATATACATATGGCTTGTGAATTCTGAGATTTTGAAAAGTTAGTAAAAAATTATGAAATACTTTAATAAAAAAAATTCTAGTTTTGAATGAGTATATATTTATTATATTACTATTTACTTCTTCATCTTGATTCTATACTTGAAAAGTGAAAATCCAGTCAATTTTTTGAAATAATGATTGAAATATTATATTAATCTTATTTTCATGTTGCTATTTGATTATATATGTATTATGATGATATTTTTTGAGAAAGTATTACAAGTTTGACTCTATTTCTATATTTTGATTAAAGATTAATATGAATTTGAATGTTGATATATTATAATAGTTAATAAATAGATAATTTAATTTGTGATTCTAATTAGCTAATTGATCAGCTATCTTATTATCTAGATTATTTGAATATTCTTTAACTTTGTTCAGTATTATATTTAAGTTATTTATACTAATATTATAAGCTAAAATTTTTTAAAGTGACCAATTTGATTATTGATATAGTTATCTTATAGATCATTTAATATGATATGTTATATTATAATTAAATTCTTGTATTATTAATTAATTATTAATTGAAATATTAGAATTTGAAAGAAGAATTTTTGATAAAGCACATATTACAAATAGTTCTGTTTTAATGATAAAGATTAGATTTTTTATGACAAATTTGAAGTTAAGATTGGAGAGCCATATTATTTATGTTATTCTAGCTATTATTATTAAAGATCCTATATTTACTATCAATTCATCAGTGAAGAATATATTAATATTTATTGTGTTCATTTTTGATTTAAGAATTTATTATTCTGTATAGAGAGCTAAGTTATTATTGAAATATTTTGAGATTTTATATCCTGATATCTTATACTATACTTTAGTTATGTCATATTATTTATTAATAATACTTATTCTAGTATATGTATAATAGTCAAAATAAAATGCTTACCTATTACAAATACTAACTCTAAAGATAAATCTCTAGATTCCTCATCTTTCATCTCCTATAACACAATTCTCAAAATATAAGTAGATTCAAATTTCTGCAAATATCAACTTTCTTTTTTTTATATATTAATAATACTTGTTCACTAATAGAATATATTAAACTAGTACATACTAATTATATAAAGTAAAAGTTATAGTTGACAACTTCTTATAATACTTTTCTTAACTTCATAGTATCAGTTTAATCCTAGATTGGCCTATCAGTAGCTAATCATATTGTTATCTTTTTGATGCAAGTTCTGAGATAGAGATGAGTATTTAATCTAATATTACAAAAGTACGTAATAAAAATATTCACATACTTAAAGTAATATTTGAAAGAGTCTTTAAAAATTTATTAATAAGAATATAAATGCTATTATTTATTTAAAGATAGATAATGATAGTATTCTTGTTGTGACTAGCTAGAATATAGTCCAATTCTAAAATATAATTTCAAGACAGATATAATATTCAATTTATTAACAAGATAAAATAACAGATCTTAATCAAGATCTATTTTATAAAAAAGATTTCTTAGAATTCTCTTAAAATTATAATCTACTAAAATGCGAATTGAAAACTAAACTCATAAAACTCAAACTAAATAACTAACTGACTAACTAATAACTATCTTATTAACTTATTAACTTCTTAACTTATTAACTATCTAAATTCACTAGCTAAGATATATTACTTTTATATATTTTAGAGATTATATGAATGATACTTTTGTTATGATACTTATGTTAGTTTTGCTATGATCTAAATATTACTTTAGCTAGTATCATAATATTGGTTTTGTTATGATAGCATTATTAGTTTTGCTATGATAGTTTTGTCATGATCATCATGTTTGCAAAATCTTTTAAAAATATCTACAAATAATATTTTCTAAAGCTAATGTCTAATAAAATATAAAGAATTATTTATCCAATCATATTATGATATGAAATGACCAATAAAATTAACTAATGTTCTACTTAAAATTCATATCACAACAATATCAGTATCTTCTAAAAAGATTTTTCTGGTAGTTCATTTTGTACAATAGAAAACTGTCTCTAGAACAACTATAATTTTGTAATTTAGTATAGTTTCTTATATCTTGAATAGGATTATATTATAGTATATTAAAATAATAAGTAGCAGTCTAATCTAGTCTTATTAAATACTTTTAAAATAATAAAATTGATTGATTGATTAATTATTTAAATAACTTTAAGTAATTGATTATACTTTAATTATACTTTAACTATTTTTTTTAAAAATTTGATTTACATATGAATATTTCTTATAATGTATATCACGTGATTTATTAGTAACTACATTATATCGCGAGATTTCTTTTTTGTAGATATCTCATCGCGTAGAAACCTGTTGGATTTTTTGTCTCCATTATATATAAAGAGAGTGACTATGTATTTTATCCTCTCCATCGTCGAAAAGAGATTCCGCAGTTATGGCGACGCCAACATTGTGGATACTTCCTGAGGGCCATAAGAGTCCTTTTAAATATTCTAAAGAATATATACAAGCTGACAGTGACTTAGTCGATCTTCGAAGTAGTTTATGTCAACATCAAAAATTTCTCAAAGACGTTGAGCCGAGTAACATCGAGTTCTTCTCCTATGACAACCGCAACGAGTCTCTTAGCGAAGGCATGCTTCTTAAGGACCTGACCACTACTGCTACTACACCTCTTATTATTCGCTATCCAGTGTCAAACTCTAATGGTAAAAAAATGTTTTCTTCCACTTTTGCTTACAAAACGTAAAACGGCTAATAAGTTTTACTTATCTTTGACTTGTAGTTGTTGTCCGCTGTAATCTTTCCACGAAGTGGTTTAGATGCGACTTTCCGCATTCCTCCGGTCTATGGTATCTTATTCGTGCCAGTTGCCAAGAAAAGTTTGAAAATATGCCACCAGACGTCCCATATTATTTCATATACAACGAGCAAAAGGACAATAAGGCAAGCGGTGAGAAGCTCATCAAGACCGAGTATCAGTTGAATATGGCGGTTTCAGAAATTGAGCCTGATGAGAAAAATAAGCGTGAAATCCATTTCTCTATTCGGATTGAAGGTTAGTTTGCAAGCATGAAATAGAGGCAATAAGAACGTGTATGTGACTCGTCTTTGATTCATGTAGGCAGAAAAGCGTATGGCGACTGGGAGTTGGCAGAAGTTCTTCAGCAGTTCCTGAAACGTCAGGGATCGTCTTTGGCTAATATTGGCCAATTTAATATTGGTAACAAACGTGTTTGCAAATGTTATCCCATATTATCATTAATCATTTCTTGAATAATTCTTGTTCTACAGCCGAACTTCCAAATCAAGACCCTTCTATTAGCTCCGATGCACTCCAGGCGTTCATCAAGGACTTGGAGCAAAAAAGGGACAACTTCCGTGTCGTCAATGCAAACGAGATGACTTGCAGAGAATTCATTTCTACGTTCATGAACAGCGCAGTAACTCATGTGCGATCAGAAGAAAATGAGCTTCAGCTTAAAGCTGAAGAATGGCTTAGTGGAAGTCGCGGATACGGACCCGTTGTCTACTCCGTCAATTTAGGTGAGATAGTTGTTTTGGTTGAAGAAGCTAAGAAAGAAAATTTTGAGAAAGGAGTCGCTCAGAATATTGTACAAATGCATAGTGCTATTGAGGTAGGGAAATTGTGTATTTTTTTTCTTTTAGTTCTTTTCTGTATAACTTAAATCAACTATTTCTAGGCATTAAACCGAAAGCGCAAAATAGATGAGACGGAATCAGAGAACGTTCCAATTATAATGTATGGAATTGTGACGAACGCTATAGAATGGTACTTTCTTCGATGGGCAGGCTCGCTAAAAGATGCAATTATAGAGTTTTCTGGGCCATGTACCTGTGATTTTTACGATAATTTGAAGAATGCGAAGAATATTGTTGGCTATATCATCTCTATTCTCCAATCACAAGTTCGTGGTTTGAAAAACAGTGCAGAACGTCGTACAATTAAGCGGCGTCGTGCAAAACCCTCAGTTTCCCGCTCTGGCTCTGTTATGGATGAATCCTAATTGCAAACTCATTTGTTTCGCAGTTGTTACTTGCTATTTTTCCTTCTAATACTAATAATACTTTCTCGTGATAATCTCAGGGTTGACAATTCAATTATTTTAGTTGTTTTTTTTTTCCCACCAAAATTTAGGATTTATTTCAATCACACATTGCAAAGCTTTAATGTTAACAGGTTGCATAACAGATAATTATGTTGTTGAGTTAATAGAAATCTTTGCTGTATATCTTTTAACATCTAATTTTAGAAATAATCACACTATAAAATGACAAATTCTTCATTACATTAATCATATTATCATTCATTTCAAATATTTAATTATTTGCAAAAACTTCAATGAATATTTTTTCTTTTCATCAAAAAATAGATTAGTCTCTCTTCTTTAATTTAAAGTTACAATTAAAATTAATCAATTCTTATATTCAAATTCTAATACTCGTACATAATTTAGATTTAACTCAAAAAATATTTTGACATGTTATAATATAATAGCAGTCTTGTCTCATTTATCTCATCTTTAAAAATTTCTAATTTTTATTGAATTACAGTGGCAATCAAAAGTAATAACTCAGAGGCTAAATTTACTAATAAAATATAGTGAAAATTGAAATTTTCTCTCTATATAAAAATTTATAATTTTAATAAGAAATAA